CAAGAAACTTCACAATATTCGATATGTCGACGCCGAGGATTCCGATGCTAGTTGAGGCAGCAAGGGGAGTGCCTTGAAACTGAGGAGATACGACAAAGGGGTACTTTTTAGCGGTAAACGCGCAAACTTGTGTCTTTTGGGGATTGAACTGGATTACATTTACATTTAGTCGCCCCCAATCCGAGACTTTGTTCAGCAAAGACTCGATTTGAGGCATAAGTTTGTCAGGGCACTCGGCGACGTTTTCCTGAGATATATTGGCACGGCCGGTATATAAGGCATCACCAGTGCTGTCGTCTGCATAGCAATGAATGTTGTTTGTAACATATCATTGATATGCAGGAGAAACAGCGTTGGTGATAGCACGCAGCCTTGTGGAATACCAGCGTTGATAGGCTTGAAATCAGAGCACGCACCGTCTACTACGACCTTGATGCTCCGATCAGCAAGGAAACTGGTGATCCATTTGCACAATTTCTCGGGAAGCCCATAGGAAGGAAGCTTCGAAAGAAGCGCTTTGTGCCAGACCCGATCGAAGGCCTTCGCTATGTCCAAACTAACGGCCAATGCCTCCCCCTTGGTCTCTACTGCCTTTACCCATCTATGAGTCAGGTAGACCAGAAGATCATCAGCTAATCGACCCCGACGAAAACCGTACTGGCGGTCACTAATCAGCTGGTGATCCTTCAGGTACCTCATGAGCTGGCAGTTTATAATGGATTCCATTATTTTGGAGAACAAAGAGGTGATGGCGATAGGCATGTAGTTGGACGGGTCAGAGCGGTCGCCTTTGTTAGGGATCGGGTGGACCAAAGCTGTCTTCCATGAATTCGGGACTACGCCTCGGGAGTAGGAGTACCGGAAAAGACGCGTTAAAACCGGTGCCAACTCCGGAGTACACGTCTTCAGCACAATGGGAGGGACTCCATCAGGCCTATTCGACTTGCTGACGTCCAGGGATAAGTGCTTTATGAACCGAGCGCTGTGTAAATCGCACATCCGGCATGGAACACTCACACCGCGGGATGGTCGGCATTGTGTTACCCCCGTCATCTAGATTCGAGTTGGACGCAAAGAGAGAGCTTAAACGGTCGGCTTTCTCCTTTGCGGCATGGGCCAGTGAGTCGTCCTCTTCGTGCAAAGATGGAAGAGATGGCTGACAGGAGTTCCATTGGACAGCCTTGGCGAGAGAAGACAAGAAGGAAGGCGAACTAGCTTCTCGCCAATTCTGCCGATATGCTCAGATCTTGTCTTGGCAATGATGCTTTTGAAGGCCCTGGAGGCGGAATTATACTTCTTTTTAAGAGTGCTGGTGTTTACATCCCGAGACGTTGATGCGTCAGCCCAGGCCCGGTAGCACTCCTGCTTATAGCGTGATGCTATTTTACAGGAGCGACCAAACCATGGCTGGGATCTGCCTTCGACGGGCACCACAGGCGATGGAATAGAAAGTTCCATACCCTGAAGAACCACATCAGCAACAGAATCGGCAACAACGCTGGGATCTTCCGGCGAGAAGCAAACCCACCCCCAAGGGTAGGATGCAAAAAAAGACCACATCCCGTCCCAATCGGCCGACCTATAGTGCCAAACACGGCGTCAAGCTGCGTATCGCAACTGCGATGGGAGCGTGAGTGCCACCGTACTCCGGATCAGACAATGGTCCGAAGAGCCCAGAGGGCCATCGACGGAGACCAGATATCCGTCCTGATGAAAGGTCAGCAGAAGGTCCAACAGGGAAGGTACATGATCCTCCACATCTGGGATCCGCGTAGGCGAAGTAACCAGTTGTGTTAGACCATATGCCAAGGCAAAGTCATAGACAGATCTACCCGCATGAACGGTTAAACGGGAACCAAGCCATTCAGCGTGGTGGGCGTTAGAATCACCGAGTATCACGATCTCTGCGGACCTGTTGTAGCACGGAGTCTGCAGCCATTTGGACGTGGTCGATGAGTTGGTCTGTGTCGACATTGCCGCTATGGTATGAGGCACCCGCAGAAGCGGGAATGGTCGTCGCTGTCTAGCCATAGCCATAGGAAGGACAGGTCCGTACCTTCACGACTGCCGAGGCGTCGAAAACAGATGTCCTCTCTGACGTATACGCAAACTCCAGTCCGGGGCACAAAGGAGTGTTCTAATTTGTACCCCGGGTAGGAGAGATATGAAGTATCACTATCAGCCGGAGAGGACACCTGAGTCTCGGTTAAAAAGAGCAAGGCCGGCCTCACCGCCTCTAGATGGTATGATTCTGTGAGGTCGTGGTACCACCCCGGTTCGAGCCGGCCCATCCGTGCGACAGCAAAAGCGTGGATCTACCACTGTTCTAAGCCTGCTTATAGCGTGATGCTTTTTTACTGGAGCTAACTAAACCATGGCTGGGATGTGGCACCACAGAAGATGAAATAAAAAGTTCCATACCCTAGAGTACCACATCAGCAACAGAATCAGCAACAACGTTGGGATCGTCCGGTGAGAAGCAAACCCAAGGGTAGGATGCAAAAAACGACCGCATCCTATCCCAATCGGCCGACCTATAGTGTCAAACACGGCGGCAGCCTGCAGAATGCAACCGCGACTGGTACCACATTCCGGACTAGACAATTTTCCGCGGAGCCAAGACCTGATATCCCTCCGGATGAGAGGTCAGCAGAAGATCCAACAGGGAAGGTGCCTGATCCTTCACCTCTGGAATCCGCGTAGGTGAAGCAACCAGTTGTGTCAGATCATATGCTAAAGTCATAAACAGATCTCCCAGCATGATCGATTAAACGTGAACCAAGCCATTTGGCGTGGTGGACGTTAAAATCGCCAACGATCGTCACGATCTTTGCGGATGGGATCTTCTGTAGCAAGGAATCTGTAGCCATTTTGACGTGTTCGATGAGTCAGTCTGTGCCGACTAAACCGCAATGGGACCTAGAGGCACCCGACGTCGTTATGGGCATCAGGCGTCGAGAACAGATGTCCTCTTTGACGTATACGTAAATTCCAGCCCCGTATTCCAATTTGTACCCCGGGTAGGAGAGCTCCGAAGTATCAGGTGGAGAGGACACCTGTGTCTCGGTCAGAAAGAGTAAGGCCGCCATCGCCGTCTTCAGATAGTTTAAGTTCGACTAAAGTCCCCTTATGTTGCAGAAATTCACGAATAGCGTGGCAGGAACCATGATGAGGACAACATTTAGTTTTTAATCCTAGAATATTGTTACTTATTATATTATAATGTATGGATTGTTAGTTTTCTCAAAAAAAAAAGAAAGTTCAATACAGTTGACTTTTGAAAATATTAAGAAGTTGACATCCTGGTGGAAATCCATCACAAGGATATCAGCACCAAGTGACAGAATTTGCGCATGTACACTTTGCAGATTAACTAATCAATCAATCACGTGAAAGAATGTTCACCGTACTCACCCCGCGCCCCGGTACTACACGAAAGAGACGAATAAATCGCTAACTCTATGACTGATGAACTCATGAATCGTCATTGACAGCGATAGGAAGATGTGAGGATTTAACAGTTTTGTCGCTGATGTGGCAATTCAATAGTTTCTTCTCATGTAAAATTGAAGTGACATGCGAACTAACATGTCTACTACTGCCTAACTACTGCAGCCAATGAAATCTCGAACCAACTTCAAACAATGACGGCTACAAATGTGTTCGTCACCTTTGAGAATTAATATAGAATAGCTTACAGCCTGTAATTATACTGGCTCTCTGCTTTAAAATATTCTAATTCTTTACGTGTTAGAGCAATGCTGCAGCTATATTAGTAGTATAGTTGTAGTACGAATGGGTCGGCTCGACCGGGGAAGGTCCACGCTCTCACAGGATACCAGCGTAAAATAGCAGCTTAACGCTGCTGTGTTTCGTATGCTGAGTGTACAGAACTGGAGACCCTTTTTACTGGAAAAGAGCCAAAAAAAAATGCAGATGCGTTGTCACCCGTGAGGACTAAGATGGAATATCTTAGTCCTCACGGGTGACAACGCATCTGCATTTTGATTTGTAATCGAGGATAGATGTAGATGTCTATGTGCCGCAGACGTGGTCCTTCACTGCTGGCCGGATGAGGAAGCTCAAAGTCGCTCAGCGAGCTATGGAGAGGGCTATGCTCGGAGTTTCTCTGCGTGATAAACTTAGAAATGAGGATATCCGCAGTAGAACCAGAGTGACCGACATAGCCCAACGGATTAGTAAGCTGAAGTGGTAATGGGCCAGCCATATAGCTCGAAGAACCGACAACCGATGGGAAAAAAAGGTTCTCGAGTGGCGGCCTCGTACCGGACAAACGAAGTGTAGGGCGTCCCCCCACTAGATGGAGTGACGACCTGGTAAGATATGAAGGAAGTCGATGGATGTAGGTGGCTCAGGACCGTGCTTTGTGGCATTCTTTGGGGGAGGGCTATGTTCAGCAGTGGACTTGTGAAGGGCTGTAATGATGATGATGATGATGATGATGGGCCGCAGCAAGCACTTAACATCAGGTGGACTGTGTGCTCGTTTGTCACTCTTATCCTATATAAAAAAAAATTAGTACTTTACTATACCCGTCAGACCGAAACATAGTATTGCACGCATTGCTCTTTGAGAGGGTTGTAAAAGGATTATACCCAGACGGACTCCTAGACAGAAAAGATGATGCGGATTTTAAAATGATGCTGGTTTTTAAAAATTGTTGTTAAATATATCTAGTAATTTTCTTTTGTTTTTTCAACGTTAGGATTTTCCGACACAATAGGATTTTCTCTTGTATCGTGGAGGCATTTTACATACATTAATTGAACAAAGACCAACATTCAGACTCGGAACAATTACATGTAGGCGGTACAAATACTTGTTCGGTGCGAGATTCGAACCAGCGGCGCTCATCGCCACAACTCATTGCTAAGTCACTGCGCCACGGGACTGTATAACCATCAAAGAAGTCCTACCACTTGGAATAAAGGTTTTTAAAATTGTCGTTGAGGATATTTAGTAATTATGGGAGCACTTACTCGTTGGCGTCGTGTGTGGCATCGTCGTCGTATTCGGCTGCATCGTCGCGCTGAGCCAACGTCAGCGTCACATCCGGTATCGTGATGCGACATTCGGTCAATAAAATGGGTTTCCGTTTTACCGTCTCGTACCAGGACGTGTCCTGTGAAACAGGTTTTTTTTTAAACTCAATAAGACGAAAAAGAGACACTAAAACAAATACATCTATAGTATTTAGCCTACGAGAGAATGACATAGAATATTATATTAAATTTGTCGTACTTAGGCCATCTAGCGTCTATTTTACGTACCACCTTGAGAGTCAATCAAGTTTTGTTCGATAAAATAACTTTACCTTTAGAATGAAGTAGATGGCGCTATTACAAAGCAATTTTACTCGAAAGAAAATATTCTTTTGATTTATTACACTAAAATTTTGGCTCCAAACGTCTAAAAATAAGTGGATTGTAACATTTATTAGCTATAAAATTGAACTTTTATCTTATATTTTATGGCACTACCGTGTGTAAACTTGACACATGTTTTTTTTTAAAGTAGCGGCGAGAAGAAACAAACAGTTCATCTGATGGTAAGTAAATTATGTGGCCTATAGACACCTACATCATCTCTTAAAACCAAAATGCAGATGTGTTTTCATCCTTGTGAACTGGTTCTTGCCACTAGGCACTAGGATGATGGTTGTCTGTGCGAGCATGATCCTTTTTCGATTGAGCTGACCCATGTGATGTAGCCATAATTTGCTTCAGTGTGGGTTTGCACCATGTGGAAAAGTTTCGTAAGTTAATTTAAGTCTTCCTAATGCGCTCTCTACACTCGCGCGCGATTCACGCCGTGAATTAGATGACCCTCCACACTCGCAAAGTTTCGTAGTTTCGTTCGCGGTCTCAAGGACAATAGACGACGATGTGGCTGTTGCTGTGACGCTATCTGATATACCGCACTACAATTATCTTTACATAACAAAGAGATGGTAACACCCAATCGGTGTTAGCTCAAGTTTATTACTCCACGACATGGTACTCATTCTTTCAAAAATTAAATAAAATAAATACACAAGACCACCCCCGACTACGTTTCGTGCGCTACTGCGAAAATCCGCGAGCGTTCGTTGTGTGTGCAACCAAGTGCGAACCCTTTATCACGGGATAACAACCGACATCGATCGGGCAACGGCGCGAAGCGCGGACACGATGCCGCGAAACCATCTACACTCGCGTATGACGGCTTTCGCGGGCGTTCGCGCCGCGAGTATAAAGAGTGCATAACATCATATTGTAGACATTACAGCTAAACTCATAAGTATTACCTTTTCTAAATTTAGTGATTTTTCCAGAGATTTCTCGATGCTTTTTGGTTCATCTACCCTCTCTTCAGGCTCTGGTATATCTTCCGGCTGCATTAAACGTATTTGCATTTCATGACCTGTTGGATTGGTCAGCTTCAAAAGCAAGGCTGATGTGCAGCCTGGTTTGATCGGCTCGTAGGAAATTATCTTAACTTCTGGAACATGGTAGCTGCCATAAAAATAAAACTACAAATCAGAAATTTATCCAGTTAAACTTAAGTAATTTATTTTATATTGCTGCGCGCCACCATTAGTGACTGGTACATGGCGACACTAGTTAGAGTAGCAGAACTAGGAGAGTCAAGATCCTTCTAGAAATTTCTATGGAAGAACTTTCTAGAACTTGTCATCTAGTCAATCGGGACCGATATGTACACGAACATTCTAGATGTTTCTACAGTAGAAGATTCTGGAACTATCTGAGGCCCTATACAATATGTAACAGAAACCCTGTGGTTCCCGTTAAGTACGTTATCAGGATCATTATTCAAACCTATAGAAATAAATTATTTTTAAAAACTCTTAACAATATTTTTTTATTTTATTTAAAAATAAATAATTGTATGCAAATTGTATGTGGTTTTATTACCTCTGCATTGTCTGGGGAGTAAGAGGATTGTCAAAGACCCCGCTTTATTTAGCTTTAGCGTCGGCTAGTCTCAGTAAGAGGTAATAAAACCACATAAAATGAAAAAAAAAATATTTTTTAATAAATTAAAAAAATATATATGCTCGAGATTTTTAAAAAAAAGTTATTTCTATAGGTTTGAATATTGATCCTGATAACGTACTTAACGGGAACCACAGGGTTTTTGTTACATGTTGTATAAGCCGGTATAGACCGCGACTGGGGTCGGTATTGAGTTGGCGATACAAGCGAATACTTCGAAGTGATCACTAGCACAATTGTGTTTTGTTATTAGTGTGATTTTAAGTTGTAATTAGTGGTCTGTAATTAAAGTGTCAATTCTAGTAATTCAATCGGCAGTTTTTAATTGTCTCGAACCCCAAGCTCGTAACAATATAAAATATAAAGCAATGCCTGCCAATACAATCTTATGACTGTTCAAAAGACATTAACACCTTAAAATGAAATTTAAACCATGCATTATATATCCCCTGGGAATGAAGTGATTGCTATGTTTCTATATGTTTTAATACTAATTGTATAATATATTATATTGTAAATCTAGAATTTAAAGTCTCGCTGGGGTTTTGCTGGTTCTTTTCAGGACAGAGGTTTTATCTTAAATGAAGATCTCATATCTTGAATAAGTATCTATAATGAATAAAAATTATTCTATTCTACTCTGAGATAAATGCTCCCAATTATTAATTAATTTAGTTTCATAGTGTAATAATGAAGAAACTTTATTAACTACATATAAACATCACTTACAAAGCAAGCAGCTCTATTTTGAACTTGATAGAGCCAGGGTTGTATTCGGGTTTGGTGAGATTATGATCACAGACTCGACACCGCTGGCTGCGCTTCACACTTAGCAGTTTTGCAATAGGGTGTAGACGTGATACGTGTGTCGGTTGCCACTCGGGGGAGGCCAGTCGCTGCGGCATACTTGTGACTGCAATCAATAACAATTTTTCTATAGAATATAGGTGACACATAAGCACACAGTCTACCTGATGGCAAGTGGATGTGTGGCCCATAAAAATCTAAAATTATCCTCGATACGAATCAAAATGCAGATACATTGTCATCCTTGAGGACTAAGATTGCTTCCAGTAAAAATCGTCCAGTTCTCTACTCTCACCATACGAAAACTGCTATTTTACGCTGGTATTCTATGAAAGCGTTGTTCTTCCCACGTGGAGCCTACCCACAACAACCATTATATAGCTGCAGCATGGTTCTACCACATATTTGAATGTAACTGATATGTTAACAAAATAATGTTTCAGTTTTTGGAGGATGTGAGGTGATATTAATACATATAATGCATTTAACATTATTATTACCTTTTTCAAATCCTGATTTATATGTGGTAGAGTTACGCTGTAATTACGTAGTTGAGTGACAATCCAGCTCATATCGTTTCGACCAGGGTAGGAGGATACGAAACACGTCAGCATGTATGGTAAGTGATGAGAACCGGAGACCTTGTTAACTGGTAACAAGGCGTTTCCCATAAGTCCTCAGGGGTGAGAAAATATACATATACATACATAAACACTCACGCCTGTCACCCAGAGGGGTAGGCAGAGACTACGGACTTCCATTTGGCGCGATCCTGACACACCTCTCACGCCTCTTTTACATCCATATATCTACGCATACACGCTCGTCGGTTAAGAGTACTCCTAATCTGGCCCATTTTTAATGTATCGCCGATTTGGTCGATAAACCTTCGTCTAGGGCGGCTCGCGTTCGTAGGCTTCGACCACCTAATCCTAGGCCCACCCTACACGTGTCCCCCGGGTGGTGCTAAACGAGCGACAAAGTCGAAACGACAGACTCGGCTTCTCGCCGTATGGTAGCGGCGTAAAATCTACCACCCCTTAGTTCGCACCATGAGCCAAAAGAAGAAAATATATGTGTTTTATTTATTAATCAAGGATAGATGTGGGTGGGAGTCCCAGCAACTATTTATTAAGTAGACTGTGTGCTCATTAGTTAAAACGTTGCTGTAAATCACTACTCCATGGAAATCAGGTTCGGCATTATGTATGGATATTCTACCATCCGTAGGTCAACAGGGTGCACCACATGTAGGAGTGTTGACTGCAATTTGGAGATAAAGGTTGTCCACCCGAGTGGGTGGGTAGAACTCACGTAATGATATAGTAAGTCTGGCAAGCTATGAGGGCATTTTTAATGAGGCCTATAAATCTTCCGCTCACCAGATGTCGCTAGTGTAGTGTAAAACTTGTGCTAGTGTAAAACTTCACCTCAGTCCTACTGAGGTGAAATTTTTGTTACCCAATGTCAGTTAATTCAGAATTTCGTTTTAAAAATAATAATTTATCATTTTCTAGAGTATAATATTAATACACAAAACAATGCCTCAGTGGTTTGATTTTTAATTTTTTGTTCATTCTAACTTTTTTTAATTTTTCTACTTTTAGCTATATCCATAGTTTGGTTTATTCATTTCTAATCTAATTATCTAATTAATATAAAATATAACTAACAATATAGAAAGAAGCATTAAGAAGCTATCTTCTTAATGTTTCTTTCTTAATCTGTCAAATATTTCACCTCATTGCAAAGTGGCGACGCCCTGGTGACAGAAAAAGTCGTGGATGCCCAGTCATTAATTTGACATTTTTGCTTGGTCAAAACTAAGAGACAAAGTTGAGTGATGTGTACCAGTTACTATAATCAAGGCACATAGTATTTTTTGTATGGCTCATAGTATTAAAAAATCGTTAGTGCCTAAAAAAGAATTAACTATAAGTTCAATTTTAATGTGAATGTAAAAATTGGCTCACATAACGTTTATTGCTTTAAGTTTTTATAGCTGGTTAAGACAATCTGTATTATATACTATGTCTGGCAAGCTTTAAAGACATATTAACCGACTTCAAAAAAAGGAGGAGGTACTCAATTCGACTGTATATTTTTTGTGTGTTACCTCAGAACTTTTTTCTAGGTTAGGTTAGGTTAACCGATTTTGATGATTCTATATTATTTGAATGCTGGTGCTTCTCACGTGGTCCCTTATAAATTCTATCAAGACCTAAGCAGTAGTTTTTGAGTTATCCTTAATAATGCACATTTAATTGGCTTCGACTAAATTGATGATGTTTTCATTTTATTTATATTTAAGTCGGTTGTATAAAATTTTTAATTTTAGAACTTGTTAATCGTAAGAACTGACAATTTTTGGTGAAAACCCACAGGACAAAGTGAAGTGATCGGTGACCCCGCAACCACTCTTAGTTACTAGATCAATTTTAATGTAAAATTTTGTTCACAAAGGTTGCCCGTTGTTGAGATATGTACTTTGATTTAAATTAAGCTCCTTGGTGTAAAACTCCTCTGGTAATTCTTCAACTTCTTCAGAGGCTTGACTGGGTGTGAAGCTGGCGATGGCTGAAGAAGAGCTCTCACTGGAAGGTAAACCAGCGATGTTCCTCGCCATTGCTCCAGTCAGACCGGTTTTGTCCTGTAGATGAAAAGTGTAAATACATATATCATGTATCATTATATTATTAGCTACAGTTTATGTTTCGTTTAAATCCACAACAAACAACTAAGTTCCCACAAAGATTGTAAACTATGAAAGCAGGTCACAAAACAGTCAGACAATCTACTGTATGTCAACGAAGATACACCAACAGTTTTTGCAACACTGGTTTCAGTTTCTAGCATTTGACTTTTATATTCTTTTTTGGGTCAATATATAAACAAATCTATACAAATAAAATGTAATCCTGCTTTTAGTTTCATAAAAATTTTATTTTTTTTGGTAATTTTAACAGTGGTAGAGCCAAGCAGCAGCTTTTGCTGTCGCACGGATGGGCCGGCTCGAAACGGCATGGTTACACGACCTCACAGAAAACCAGCGTGAAGTAGAGATTTACCTCTGCGTTTCGCTCGGTGAGTGCAGGTGGCCGGAGGCCCTTTTTATTGGAAATGAGGCATTCCATCTTAGTCCTCACGGGTGACAACGCATCTACATTTTGATTTGTAATAGAGGATAGATGTAGATGTCTATGGGCCGCAGCAACCACTTACCATCAGGTGGACTGTGTGCTCGTTTGTCACCCTTATCCTATAAAAAAAATCTACTTGTTTAATATCTATTTATAAAAAAAAAAATCATACAGCTTATTATCCCAATAAGTTAGCATTAATATTTTGAAAGATGTGAAGATTTTAGTTACCGACCCATTTTTGTGGCTTACATATATATATATATAGATAAATACTAAAATATTTTTTGATAAAATAGGATGTTAATAGACCTGCCGCAGAAAAACACAAAAACTCTCCGATCACACTGTCAATGGCTCTTATGGATGTTAGACGGGAAATGAAACTGTAGTGTTCAGCGGATTTGACAGCATACAGGCAACTGAACAGACAGATCTCCAATTGCATGCAGCGGGACTTACACAACTTCAATACAGCTCGTATTGAAGAAGCGATCGAGCGGAACCAGGGCTCCAAAGTCATTGCCAGAGATCTTACTGCCAGAGAGCCAGAATGTGGCAGCATCGTTTCCTGGGCACCGGAGATTTTCAGTGAGATTGAGAGGTTCCACACGCAAGTATAAGTAACGTCCGTTCAGAGGTGTCAAGTTGACTGTCGGTACAGGGCGACTACATCACTCACCTTCGATTTGCCGATGATGAAGTCCTTATGGCAGAATCGCTGAGGATGCTCAATGACCTCGATAGTGCCTCGCAACGCATAGGTCTTAAGATGAACATGGACAAAACAAAGATCATGTATATATGTCACACCTATGCAGGCAGTTGTTGGGAGCACTAAGCTCGAAGAAACGACGGATTCAACTCGGCTGGACAGCGTTCGGAAACCTACGAACACTTCTCCTCGTCAGGTATACCTCTGAACTTGAAAACGAGGTTGTACAATCAGTGCGTGTTGCCAGTGATGACCAAATGACTTGAGACGCGATCTTTCATTGCTGGCCGCATGAGGAAGCCCAAGGTCACTCAGTGAGCTATGCAGAGTACTATGCTTAGGGTTTCCCTGCGTGATAAACTTAAAAATGAGGATATCCGCAATACAACAAGAGTGACCGACATAGCCGGACATAACGGATTAGTAAGCTGAAGTGGCAATGGGCCGGCCATAAGGCTCGAAGAACCGACAACCGATGGGGAAAGAAGGTTCTCGAGTGGCAGCCTCGTACTGATAAGCGAAGTGTAGGGCGGCCCCCCACTAGATGGAGTGACGACCTGGTAAGACATGCAGGAAGTCGATGGATGCACGTGGCTCAGGACAGTGCTTTATGGGGGGATTCCTTGGGGGAGGCCTATATTAAGCAGTGGACAGGTAAAGAACTGTAAAGTGGATGATGATGAAAATAAGAGGTTGCTTGTATGATTAAAATAAAGTAAATGATTGTTTTTTTCAATACTAACAGTCAATGTAATGTATTTTCCTCTAATTGCAAACTTCTTCCGCTCTCTATCCAACTTTTCTTGCTTCTCTTGTTGTGCTATAGCTTTATAGTAATCTAGAAGCTGATTGACACGAGTTGCATATGGATTAGCCCTTTCTGGCCAGCCACCAGATGCTAAAAGACAAAAGTTAGATTAGATTACATTACAATGGGCTATTTGCAGCAACTCCTCATTTAAACGCGTATTTTGCATGCGGGCAGGAAAAGACAAAAGCTTATATACGCATACGCACCTCCGACAAAATAGGGTTACAACTCGAAAAAGTCGAATTTTGAATTAAATATACAAAAATAGGTACTTAAAATATTACTAACTATCTTCTCCAAAATGGTTTCACCTGTAACTCTAAAACTCGCCACTAGATGAAGTTGTAACGGTACATGACTATAGCATTTTGACTCCAGAATTATCGCTATTAGTGTTACATTTAGTGTTATGAAAGGTAGACGTGCATTTGTTGAGACAAGAAGTGTTACAAATCAAAATATAACAGTGTTTTAGACGCGTAAAATCTTTATGCTTACATAAATTTTTCTAATGAACAGTTACAAGTCAAATTATTACAGTTTATTGTTATAGAATTGAATCAAACTAGCTCAATATTTCTATAATAAAGTGATATATTATGTATAGTATCAATATTTTGGTTTCGATTTATTGTAATATTGTTATACATTTCTCGTAGTAACAGTATTTTTCCAAAAAAATAAAAATGCTATTTTTTGTCTGAATATTTTCGATTTGTAACCTTGTTTTATAAGTTTATTAGTTTTCGAAAAAAAGATTAAAAAAAGTAAAAAAAAAAGAAAAAAGTATTTTATAAATATTTGCCGTGATTCTAGTTTATAATTCTATGTAGACTTTTAGAATTCTATGACGTAAGTAGTGTAGTTGTACCACTTCTAGACCACCTGAGTCAGACGTGGTTCAACGACGTTCGTCGACGCTCGATCCTAAAAAAAAAAAAAAAAGGTTTTGGCATGCTCTGATCACGAATCCGCGGTCCATTTTTGTGTAGAATGCACGGTTCCGGAGATGTGTAGATCAATTAGCTAATATCTAATTGATATCCGGTAAGGGCCTCCACCGTCATTAGCGTCCCATTGTTCCTATTTCTATTGTTCTATTGTTCCTTAATCACCTTCATTGCAGCGTGTGCGTCGACTATATCAGTGCTATTGTTTATTATAATTCTTTGTTTATACAACGCTAATCTGAATCATCAATAAAACACATTACATAATTTTGTTACAATTTTTATTTATAAAATACAAAATCTTATTAATTATTATCTATAAAATAGGAGCGAAACATCTCATCCACTAAAATATCGTTGTACAATGTGTTCCTTGTAAATATACTCGTAAAACTATGTATTGAACATCCTTGAAACTTGTTAGCAATATTCGCCACAAACTGAAGTCCACTCATTCTGAATCCTATCAACATTCCAGTTCCATCTTTTACAATTCCTTTTTAAAAACTCTAGATGATATCGTACAGGTGATCGTCCATATGAATCAAAATATTGACCGACGTCATTCGTATCGATATATAAAGCTACCCAATGTGACCCTGGTTTATCATCTGTATCCAAATTACATATTATATACGTTGGTACGTGGGTATACATAGGCAGTCTATTAGCTGCATAAACATTATTTTCTAGACTGGGGTGAATCTTTTTCAGATGTTGTTGTACATCTAGTGTATCCATGATATTACTGCTATTAGTAGATTATTACAGTACCTAGCTACTCAATGAATAACATAGGAATGGTCAATTATAGTGATTTCTACATATTAAATTGCATTTTTGTGATATACAAATCGTACTTGAGTCATTGATCACCAAACAAAACACAATACGAAGAAATGTTGAGATAGGCAACGGAAATGTGAGATAAACTGATATGTTTCTAAATATTAAATTGCATTTTTGTGTTATACAAATCGTACTTGAGTCATTGATCACCAAACAAAACACAATACGAAGAAATGTTGAGATAGGCAACGGAAATGTGAGATAAACTGGTTGACGCATAAAGTAATTATCAACTCATTACGGAAATACTTTAGATTAGAATTTTTACGTACTGGTGGTATATAAGACCAACAAATGCAGTCATCGAGTTAGTGTACGGTCGTTTGGCTACAGTGGATCTATCAATAGTACATTTGTGTTACTTCAATACACCAAAGGCTATGGATGTAAGTGTTTATTCTATTGACTAAATTACTTTTTTTCTGTTATTTTCATGTGTGTGTATTATTTTATTTAAATATTGTGTATGTATATGATTAAGCCGTGGTAACTCAGATGGTTAGCGCTAGCTGTAAATTTCACAGTACGCGACCCGGGTTCGATCCCCGCCAGCACCAATTAAATTGTTAATAGCAATTTTAAGTGCTTATTACCACGTGCTTGGTGGTGAAGGAAAACATCGTGAGGAAACCTGCATGTCTGAGAAAATTTCGAAGGCATGTGAAGTTCGCCAACACACATTGAGGGAGCGCGGCGGACATTTCCTTGCTCTAAAACCCTCTCAGAAATGAGAGGAGGCCTATGTTCAGCAGTGGACTTTAATAGGCTGTAACTTTAACTTTTTTAACTTTTATGATTAAGTGTTAACAAATTGATATTAACATGATAACTGTGTTGTTGCAGAAATCATTGAGCTTCGATGAAGATACCTATAAACAGTATTACTACTCGCCACTCTCCCCTCAAGAAGAGAGTGATAACCTCGTCATTAATAATAACACATGCGATGGTGGAAAAAGAAAATCGCAATCGATTGATCATTTTTTTGAAGCTGAATCAAAAATAAAAAAGAGGAAGGGAAAACTTCAGTGAAGTGTGCACCAGTGCTTTTTTCTCCACAATCATGGAAGAGAATACGGAACTATTCAATAGCGAATTAAATCAGGAGTTGTCTAAAGTTTGTGAAGAAATGGAGAGGGGTCAACTGTTCGATTCGTCATACGATGATGAGTTGTATCATCACTGTGCGATGGTTGAAACACAGTTTAAGTATGTAAAATAAACATTCATTTCGATCATAATTTACATATTGTCTTATACAGTTTTTAATAAATTTAAACATTTTAGCAGTCAACCACTACAACTTGGAAGAGGAACGAAGCGAACGTGCAGCAAAGAATCCAAGATCATCAAAAAACCAACCACGGAAGCAGAAGCGCATACCTCTGCAGGGAACAGTATCAGTAACGATGATCAAGTGGAATGTCCAACGTGCCATATATTTATCAAGAAACGGTATTTAGCTAATCATTTTAAAAGTAATGTTCATAAAAATAATCTTTTAAATTCACATAATTCTTTATCAAACGTTAGTGTTATTGAATCTGCTTTTGGAAATAGGATTTTAACTTATAAAATCAAGAGTAGAGTAGATCGTTCGACATGGGTAAATTTTGAAACTCCTGAACTATTTTTAAATTCTATTAAAGATGATATTTTATTTTTATTACAAGAGTGTATTCATCAACACATAATTTTTAAGGTAAACTTCATATTGCATGCTGATTTTGTTCAACAAACTAAAGATATTCATGATACGTTCGATTTTCAAACGCTTAACTATATTATTTGTCAAGGAGATGACTTAAATATTTTTCTTTCATCTTTAAATGATACAATTACTACTAAAATTAGTGCTTTCGAAAAAAAAGATAGTGGATGGAGTCTAAAAAACATAAAATCTATAGACATGAATGTTAATAAATTTAACCCCCTACGCGGTACTTCATACATAGATCTTCCTCGTGACATAAAATTAAAAAAGGCTGTTATAAATGTAAAAAACAAGGATTATTTTTGTTTTAAATGGGCGTTACTCTCGGCGTTATATCCTGTAAACAAACACACCGATCGGGTATCATCGTACGTTAAACATGCAAATAAACTTAAATTTGATGGTATTTCCTTTCCGGTTAAAATTTCTGACATAGCAAAAGTAGAGAAATTAAATGATATTAGTATTAATGTTTTTGGGTTAGAATATAATAAAGAAAAACGATGTAATTCTATAGTAGGTCCATTATTTTTAACAAAGTGTCGTAAAGATAGACATATCAATTTATTATTTTTTTCCAAGGATACAAAAAATCATTATTGCCATATAAAAAATTTATCGCGGTTAGTTAGTAAACAAATTTCAAAAGACGGTCACATCATGTACATTTGTGAAGCATGTCTACTTCGTTTTCCATCTCAGGAAAGGTTAAATAACCATGAACAATACGATTGTGCTCACATTTGTACAGTATTACCAAACAGTGAAACTTTAAAAAAAAAGAATTGGTTTGGTCAACCTATTTCAAATGATAAAATTAAATTTGATAGTTATGAAAAAAAGTTAAAGATACCATTCGTAGTTTATGCTGATTTTGAAGCATTTTTAAAACCAATAGAATCATGTTCTAACGATCCTTCCAAACCTTTCACTCATAATATTCAGAAACATGAAGTACATAGTTTTGGATATTATATAAAATGTTCATATGATGGTAAATTATCAAAATATGTAACATATTGCGGACCCAACTGTGCACAAGTGTTTATGGAAAGTTTATCTAACAATCTAAAAGAAATAAATAGACTTCAAAAATATCCACCACTTCCGCTAACAAATGAAGACAAAAACCAAATTTCAAATGCAACCATTTGTCATATTTGTGAAACTGAGTTGGCAAAACATTTTTATGATTTTGATAGGTACACTGGTAGTTTTATAGGTGTTGCTCATGAATCATGTTGTTCGAAGATCAGAACACCTAGTTATATACCAATATTTTTACACAACCTTAGTCACTATGATGCTCATTTTATTGTTCACGCGTTAAACTTTTGTGATGGTGAAGTCGAAGTTATCCCTCAAAATAAAGAAAAATATATATCCTTTTCCAAAAAATTAAAAGTGAATAACCACGAAATTATATTGAGATTCTTAGATTCATTTAAGTTTTTATCGTGTAAATTAGAAGAATTGGCCAAAAATCTCAGTAATGATCAATTTCAAGAATTACGTAGAAATTACCCTAATGATGAAGATTTCTTTCGTTTAAAACGGAAAGGTGTTTATCCATA